TCAGGACTTGCCTAATCCCAAGTGCCAGGCGCAGAAAAGAACAGATGGTCAAACTGAGGTGTATTTTCCAAGTATAAAAAATAAATAAAAGTCGAATAGCGGGAGAATGCAAAATGAGTTTTAGACAATCGCTGACGCCTGTGCGACATTTAAAAGCAACAGTGCAATTTGAAGCACTGCCTACGCTTGAGGCCGAAGATCCGTTTGCAACTTTCTGACGCGCGTTGGTAAAGGGTGGGGAGCGATACTCTGGAAGCCACTTCATACTGATTCCTAGACCTTAGAAATCTGTGCGAGGCTGTGAACAAACACAATTATAGTCATTTTGAACAATTGGCCAGAACTGTGTCAGAACAAGAAGTTAATCCACAGGGAATAGGACAACTAACACCAACTGCCTTCTTCTTAACAGCATCACCGTCACCGGCGAACGCATGGCATTGTTTGGGAGCCACGTGCGCCACAAACTGCCTCCTGATCTCGACCATATCCTCGGCAGCTAGGAACTGCGACAGTGGACTCCTGCAACAGAGGTGGACAAATGTTAGCAAGTGAGCTGCGGTTGCAGATTGCTGTTCCCGCCAATAACACCTATCACGATACGTAATATTGCAGGAAATGTGTCGTCACACACACATCGCGCTCTACACAACCGGCAAAATATTCACATTTGGTTCATACCGGTTGGGCGTGAATTTCAGAAGTGCAGACATCGATGCTCTGCTAGTTGCTCCTCGGTTTATTACAAGGGGGCAATTCGTCTCTGATTTTTAGGCCCTTTTAGCGGAGGACGATTCTGTAGAGGATCTACAGGCCATCCCAGACACCTATGTTCCCGTACTCAAACTGAAGTGCATGGGTGTTGAGGTAAACCAGATTGATTAATTGACTGATTGGTTGGTGTTTAGGTTGATTTGCTGTTTGCACAAGTCGACATGATGTCGGTACGAAGCCATTTTAACCTATCCGACAACTGTGAACGCCTGCCGCGCAATATGGATTAGCGAGACGTTCGCAGTGTTAATGGTGTGCGTGTTACATAAGATATATTGAGTCTGGTGTACGGGAAGAATGTTTCCAAAGCAGCTCTAAAGGTGAGGTGGAAATGTTGTGAACTGATGTTCCATAGGTTATCCGCTTATGGGCGAAGCGGAGGAATATTTACTCGAGTGCCATGGGCTTCCTTGGAGGCGTCAGTTGGGCAATCTTGACTTGTCGAATTTGCCAACTGTACCCTTGTGCTTTGCCGTCAACAATCGTGTACTTGTTTTTCACAATCTTCAGTCAGTGGCCCTGGCCGAAACCCGTTCGCCTGCGTGAATCAGAATACATTGCAACGTTGAATTTGCCCGTATGGGATCCACGAGTAAGTGCGTCGAGTAATGCCTCACTGCAATTCGCCTTGACTAACCTTCATGTTCTGAGTATACACTGAGCATACATGAGCATTTTCCATTTTAGCATAATCCCGCAGATCGGCACCACCTGATGCCAATCCTCACGCCAAGCTACCCCTCACAGAATTCGGCGTATATCGTTCAGCGGAGTAATCGCATCATCATTGAGCGTGAAATGAAACGAGGTGTGTTGTGTATGGTGTGTGTTGCTTGGTCTCT